GCAACCCTATGTACAACAGCCCTAAACCCTGCTCTATCCTGTGCCAATCTTATTGTCTCTGACACACCTACCTCCATTACCCCGGTCACTGATTCAATCCATCTCATTGAGTATCTTCCTCTCTGGTGCTGTCCCTCCACCCTCCCAAGTATGACATCCCTCTCAAAAGACTGGTCCCTCCTTGCAACATGTCCAAAGAATGTCAGACGAAGCTTCAGAATCCTTGCCTCCAAGGAGCACCCTGGTTCCACCCTCTCCAGGATGAACCTGTGTGTTCTCCCAGAAGTCCATGGTGTATTCAATACTCTTCTCCAGCACCACAGCTCGAAGGCATCAATTCTTCGTCTATCATTCTTAGTCATTTTCCAGCTTTCTGACACATAGCAAGTATATATATAATTGTCATCCAGCGGGATGAACTCCTAGCAAACCTGCACTGGGTTCCTGAGGCTATAAATTGCATGAGATTGCATAGGAAGTGATTGCTCATCTTTATCCCAAGAACAGTTGGTGTATTCAAATCACCAGAGTGGTGTGGCCTTTCCGTTAGCAGTGCAACTCCCTATGGGCTACTCTGCCAAGCTTGCTAATTTTTAGATAGATAGATAGATAATAGATGATAAATAGATAGATAGATAATCACTCACATTCGTTGCCTTCAACTTGGAACCTACTCATAGTTTCATAGCTTCAGAAGATTTCTGAGGCTGTCAATCTCACAGGATATTGCCCATCTTGGTGCATTCAAATCTGCAGAAACGTAATGATTAAAAGTTTAAAATTGTTTTTAACTTGGGACTGCACATAAAACAGATTTGGCCCATAGGTTGTAGTTTGATGAACCTTGATTTAGATGAAACATGTATTAAACAAGTTTTGTGTAAATTCTTTTTTCCTATACTCTTTTTTTTTTAAAATTCATTTTAATGAATGTTTACAGAGACTTCGGGTTTCCATTCACTCATTGTTGCACTTATCTCCCTGCCCACCCCTCCCCCCCAATATGTTCTTCTCTTTGAAAAGTGAAAGGAAAATTATTTCATTGTTATACAATCCCTCCCCCCAAGTCCACTCCACTGTGCAGCCTTCATTCTGGACTTACGTCATGACAATAATAACTAATCACATATCCCTTTTAAACAGTCTCTCACTCACCTTTTGCAATGCTGTTTACATTATTTATCGCCTCTTTCTCAGTCTCCTCTCAAGCCAGACGTCAGTCCCATTTTACAACAGTGGCACTATACAATATTTGTCCTCTTGTGACTGAGATATTTCACTCAGAATAATATCCTCCAGGGTCACTCATTTAGTATAATATTTCATGAGTTCCTTGTTTTTCAGTGCTGCATAGTATTCCATTGTGTGAATATACCAGAGCTGCTCTATTCATTCATTTATTGATGGGCACTTGGGTTATTTACAACTCTTTAATATTGTGAACAAAGAAGCAATAAAAATAGGTGTCCATATATCTGCTTGAGTGGTGGTTATGATTTCTTTAGGGTATGTTCCCAGTAGTGGAATTGCTGGGCCAAATGGTATTTCTATTTGCAACTTTTTGAGAAAGTGCCATACTGCCTTCCATAGTGGTTGTATCATTTTACACTCTCACCAACAGTGAATAAGAATTCCAGTTTCTCCACAACCTCGCCAGTATTTGGTGTTTGCTGTTCTGTTAAATTGTGCTATTCTTACTGGGGTGAGAGGATATCTCATAGTTGTTTTGATTTGCATCTCTCTTAGAGCTAGGGATTTTGAACATTTCTTCATATGTTTTTTGGTCATCTAAATGTCTTCTTTGGTGAAGTGTCTATTCATATCCTGTGCCCATTTTTCAATTGGATTATTTACCTTTAACTTGTTGTGGTGCTCAAGCATTTTATACATTATAGATCACTTGTCTGGCATGTCATTAACCAGGTTTTTTTTTTTTCTCAGTCTGTGGCTTCCTTTTTTACCCTGTTGGAGTTTTTGGATGTATATAGGGATTTGATTCTTAGAAGGTCCCATTCATCTATTTTATCCTTTCCTGGTTGTAGATTTTTCAGGACTATTTATGTTGAGCATTAGGACTTCTAGAGTTCTTCCAAGCTTTTCTTTAATGAAGTTTATAGTCCTTGGTTTTAGTCCTAGGTCCATGACCCATTTTGAGTTGGTTTCAGTATATGGAGTGAGGTGTGGATCTTGCTTGAGTTTTTTACAGATAGTTTCCAATTTTGCCAGCACCATTTGTTAAAATGTTTAAATTCTTATGTGTTTATTTTATGCATGTTAGAAGAATACTTTTCATTTACAATAGTATCATAGTGTCCTTTTCAATAAGTGTTCATTCTGGAGAGGGTGAAGCCAGGCTACTCCTTGGAGGCAAGGATTCTGAAGCTTTATTTGACATACTTTGGACATGTTGCAAGGAGGGGCCAGTCCTTGGAGAGGGAAGTCATGCTTGGGAGGGTGGAGGGACAGTTCAAGAGAGGAAAACCTTCAATGAAATGGATTGATTCCATGACTGGGGTAATAAGGATAGGTCTGCCAGAGACAATGAGATTGGCACAGGACAGAGCAGGGTTTAGGGCTGTGGTACATAGGGTCACTATGAGTCACAAGCACATAACAACAACAACATTTACGTTAAAGCAAAAATGTAATTGCTTTTCTAAAAGTATATGTTAAGGGAAGAACAAAGCTTTATAGTATGTGATTTTTTTTTAATTTTATTATTTTTTGTGCATTGTACCAGTCGGATCTGACTGGTACAGGAGGAGATTGTCCCTCCTTCTCCAACAGAGAATCTGGTGGATTCGAACCAGGCACATCTGGGATTGCAGTACAGCTTCTTGCCACTAGGCCACCAGAGTTCCCTTTATAGTGTGTGATTTAGATGAACCTTATCAACATGATAAGCAAATGCCTCCTGACTATCTTAGAATCCCATGCTTTTATCATCCTCAGTCTGGAGTCTCTGGGTGGTGCAAATGTCTAATGGGCTTAAGCTTACCCAGAAGCTCCTCAAAAGAAATCTACTTCCATTTCTGAAAAACCAGCCACTGAAAATTCTGCAGAGCACAGTTCTACTCTGATACGCAAAGGGTTGGCATGGTTTGGAATCAACTAGCCAAATGATTACATTTTCTAGTAATTCCAACACCCAAATTCTTACAGGCATTGATGGTTAGTTCATAGGATATGCACTGCTAACCCAAAGGCCTCTCTGGGGGTTCAAACCCGCTAGCATCTCCATGGGGGGGAAATGGGCAATCTCCTCCCGTGCTATTTACAGCCTCAGAAACACAATAGAAGGAAGAGATAAGTGGGTTCTGACTCCGGCACAGTGAGTGAGTGAGTGACCCACATTCTCATCTTTTCTCTGATGCTTACTAGCTGTCTGATCTCGAGACATCATAGCCCTATTTGGTTTTTGCAAAACGGAGATCTAGACATCCCCTGGAGGAGGGTCAGCTATGGATCGGTTCTGATTCAACAGCACACAACAGCAACAAGAGCAATCTTGATATATTACTGTAAGACTCAAAAGAAATAAATGGAATGAACATATTTTTCAGCCCACAAAACACAGGCTAATTGTTTTCAAAATTAAGTAAATAGGAGAAATAGCAAAGAAGTTGTTTGGCAATGAAATAGGTATGGGCCAGAATGAGTATGGGTTCCAATCTCTTCTGTCCTCTTTCCTTTCCCTGCCTGACATCTTGCCCTGATGTTTTCCCTTTGCCAGTGAGTTCAGGAAATGATAAGAATCATAGACTCTGAAAACAGAAAAACCTCAGCTGCCACTCAAACCCTACCATTCACCAGGGAGATTGGACGGCTGTTACGTGGAATCTGGGCACCTCCGCACCTTGTAAAACAAGACCACACAGTGCCTGTCTCAGAACTGCTGTTCTCAGAAGACTGGGAATAGTGAACATAAAGTGCTCAAGTAATTGGTTTGGATCCCAAAATAGTGTGCAATTAATTTTGTTCTCATAAGTTCTCTCTCTTATCCAAAACCTTACACTCAAATATGTTACAAAGCTCAGAATTCTTCAGGAATGAGGAGAGTGACAGGCACCGTGTAAACATGCCACAGAACCCAGAATATACTCACAGAATCTAGGACAGATCCAACACATTAATGTTTCTGTGATGTGTCCTGTGACTAATCATTAAACGGAACAGATAAAATTGTATTTAGCCTCATCTGAATTCAAGACTTACTTTTTTTCCCTGGGCAATAAATTTGTACCAAACACATTCTATCTGTGTCTCTTTTTCTCTCTGTGTGCATGTTTCTCTCTGTCTCTGTTTCTCTCCCCCCCCATGTGTCTCTCTCTTTATCTCTCTGTTTCTCTGTGTATCTGTCTCTTTCTCCCCCCCCCCTGTTTTTTAGCTTTCTGATTTTAGAATTGTGAATAAGAGTTTTCAATAAATAATAATTCGTATCTGCTTTCCAAATCACATTGTTAGACATTATAAGCCGGAGTTCAGTGGTCAGGTGTGATTGAAAATGAAAGACGCAATATGTGTGAATATGTATAAGTAGTGGGAGGCTTGGGCCTTACATCCCAGATCTGCCACTTCCAAGCTATGTACTGAGGCCAGTGTGTCTTAATTGCTCTGGGCCTCAGTCCTCTCATCTCTAAAGTGAATGTAGAGTGCACAGCTCACAGGATGTGGCAAAGATTCAGTGAAGTCACACATGGACAGCACGGAGAAGGAAGCCTGGTTCCTATGTGTTTTGCTGTTTTATGAAAAGAAACCTTGATGGTGTTTACATGCAGAACGTCAGTGGTTCAAACCTACTTGTTTCTCCAAGAAAGGAAAACAGACAGCCTCCTGCCATAAAAACCCTGAGTGTCACTTGAAGTCAGAATTGACTCAATGACAGTGGTCTGGGTGCTTATGAACAGCTAAGGATTGTGCTGCAGAAAGTTCTTCTCAGTGTTGGTTTCTGGGAGTCCATCGCCCTGAGCTTCCTAACGGCCTCTTTTTTTGCTATGCAGGGTGATGTTGGACTCAGTGACACACAGCACCTTCCTGCCCAGCGCCTCCTTCTGCGACCCCCTGATGTCGTGGACAGATCTGTTCAGCAACGAAGAGTATTACCCTACCTTTGAACATCAAACAGGTGCGTCCGTCCAGCGAAGGCCCTCTGAGGAGAGCTGGGACGAGCCCAGGCAGGTGGGGGTGCTGGCCTCACTCAGACAAGGCAGGCTCTGCAAAGCGCAGCTGTTCCTCAGTGTTTCGGATAAACTCTTGGCAGGGTTGAGCCAGTGAGAGGGCAGCCTCTGCAGAAGGGCCAGCACAGAACCCTCCTGCCAACCTCTTTGGGGTCTCAGGCCACTTTGCTAAGCTCTCAGAGCCTCATTTTACTAAGAGGTGAAATGAGATAATATGCCAATCTTTCAAGGTCCCTGTTGGTGGTGGTGTGCACCACTGAGCTGGAACAGACCCATAGCTGACCTCCCAGCAGGTTTTCAGAGGCGGTAAATCACACAGGAAGAGATTGTTCATCCCTCTCCCAGGGAGGAGCTGGCGGATTTGAACCACTTGCCTTTGGGATTGCACTGCAGTTTCTTACCACTGGGCCACTAGATGATGAAAATTGTTAAGCACTCAACCCAGATGTGCCTCAACAGAGAGGCATAATAGTCTATTTTTGAAAGGTCACAGCCTTAAAAATCCCATGAAGTAATATTACTTTGAACCATGAGGTCACCATATTTGGAATCTAAACAACATCAGCTACAACAGCTTGGGCTATAATGATGTTTAATTCATGTACTGAGAAGAAAGCCCTTAGCCCAGAGCATGGAACACTGTGAGTGATTTATTACTAGCACTTAAGGAGCATGAGCTGTGTACCAGATGTATGCTAAGTACTCGTCTCACCCTTATCAAAGCTCCATGACAAGAGGACAAAGATTAGCCCCATTTTATTGATGAAGACACTGAGGTACAGACTTCAGTGGAGGGAGGTTAAGCCACTCCCTCAAGATCACATGGTTGGTTAGGCTCTAGGTCAAGTTGAAGGAGCCCACTGGCATAGTAATTAGATGCTTGGCTGCTGGTGAAAAGGTCATCAGTCCTAACCTACCAGCCACTCAGGGAGAAAAATGGGGCAGTCTGCTTCTGTAAAGATTCACAGCTTTGGAAACCCTTTGGAGAAGTTCCCCTCTGCCCTACAGACTCATTATGACTTGTAATCCATTTCTCTCTCATCAATAATGGAGCTCTCGTAGCCTGTTGGTTAGAGAGTCGCACTGCCAACCCAAAGGCAGGTGGTTCAAATCAATTAGCTGCTGTGAAGGAGAAAATTGGACAGTCTCCTTCCATGCAATTTACCACCTCTGAAAACACACTGGAGAGTCAGCTACAAGTTGGTTCTGACTCAAGGGCACTAAGTTTGAATTTTGTATTTGTTTAATCAGCAGTAGATAAGGTAAGCTAACTTTGACACCTGTCCTCCTGACAATCAGTCTATGTGGTTGTCCTGCGAATGAATAAGCAGTCCACTTAGAGATACTAATATTGTTGTTCTCTGAACTTCTATATTCTCATCTTTAAAGCACCATGATGATAAGGATGTGACAATGAAGTCAAAGTGTAGAAAATGCACATTGTTGTTGTGGACCGTTGGGCTGGAACCAGCCCAGAGATGACCCTCCAGCAGGTTTTGAGAGGCAGTTACTCTCACAGGAGGAGATTGCCCATCCTTCTCCTGTGAGCACTTCATGCCTTTGCGATTGCAGTGCAGTTCCTTACCATTAGGCCACCAGAGCTATGGCCTGACACAAAGCCAGTGCTCAATACCCGTCAGCCACCTTCCTGTCCCCAGGGCCTCCCTCCCCTCTCTTCCTGCTCTCTCTAGATCATTCTCTCTTCCTGAGAAAGAAGATGGTACCTTGTGCAAAGACCATAGGCTAGTTGAACTTTGCCCCAGAATCCCTCTGCGGGTCTCTCTCCTCATGGTGTCTGGTGACTGGACAGCATGGTAAACCGGCCTATGGCTAGGCCTGAAAGGTGAAAACCCCCAGGTGGGGAACAAGGGCTAATCAAGCTATCCTCCACTCACAGTCTTAACCCTGCATGAGTCCACAAGCCGGTCACAGGCAAACAGTTTCAAGAGAGGCCAAAACTCTGAGGATATGTGGTTATGACCAAGAAGAGCCTCACAGACAGATTAGAGATCATTGCCCACCTAACTATCTGCTATCTGGACAACCACACACACACAGGACGTCTTCCACCCACCGAGAGGACCCAGATATTGCACTTGGACTTAAGTTATGCAGATATGTGTCACAATTCTTCAGTGGGCCGAAGAAGTACCTCACTTTCCAGAAATATTAGAGAGAGTACTCTTCTCCTCACTTTTTCTTGGTGGTTTTACTTGGGCCCCATCAAGTCTATTCTAATTCAGAATGGCCCTGTAGGACAAAGTAAAATACCCTATAGATTTCCCAAAGTTGTAACCTTTATGGGAACAGACTGCCACATCGTTCTCTCAAGGAACCACGGGAGGGTTTGAACCACTGGCCTTTCAGTTAGCAACCAAGAGCACAGATATTGTCCTACAGGGCCCCTTCACTATTCGGTGGTGGTGGTGGTGGTGGTGGTTGCGTATCATTGAGTTAGAACCATCCCATGGCTGACCCTCCCACAGGTTTTCAGAGGCAGTAAACCACATGGGAGGAGATTGCTCATCTTTCTCACGTGGAGCAGCTGGTGGATTCAAACCATATACCTTTGTGTTGGCAGTGCATTTCCTTCCCATTAAGCCAGCAGACCTCCCTTCCCTATTTAGTTAGGAGGCTAAATATAAAGAAAGAAAAGACTTCAGTATCCCCTCTCCTCCATCTGTGTGTCCCAAGATAGCAGGACCCGGTTCTCTGACATCTCTCCCCTGATATCAAAAAGGTCAGGTGTCTTCTAACCTACACCTGCCTTCCTGGAAATCTCTTTCTTCCATTTTTGGCGGGGCGGGGAGGGGGGCAGTTGGAGCATCGGAAAGAACAGATTATCTCCACCACTGGCCTCCTGCCACGTCCCAGCAGTGAGCAGAAGGTTCTGTAGTTGTCAAGGGCTGAGGGTATAAAGCAGGCATATAAGCAGAAAGTCTGGCTTTGATACCCCTGGCGTCTCAGTTTCCTCATCTGTAAAATTAAACTGATAAGAATGCCTACCTCAGAGAGTTATCAGGAGGATGAAATGAGTTAATATAAATGAAGAACTAACATAAATTAAGTGAAGAGTTTGGACATTACCTGGTATATAGCAAATATGCCTAAGTATTCATTAAAAATGGTTCACAGACATAATCACCAATAGGAATGCCACTGTAGTTTAAAACTCCAACAAAGCATTACAGATATAAACATCACTTTCTCCATTCAAGGTGTCCACAGTTCCATTTCTGTAATGAGGAGTTTGGATCAGTTCATTTCTAGGATTTTTTCCAGAAGCCTCTCTGATTCTAGCCAACCCTTGTGAGGGCAGAAACTCCCAGCAAGGCTTGAGGCCAATTAAAATAAAATCTCCTCTGAGAGATTTCAGGTTCCAAACATTTTCTTAGGGACAAGTCAGGCTCTTGGCCTACCATCTGCCTGTTGTAGATTTCTGAAGAAGCTATGTGTATCTGAAGGTCAAGACTTCTAAAGGTCAAGACTGCACATGACAGGTCAGTCTCTCAGAGCTGGCCGGGCACATCTATGATGTGTGAAGTAACAGGCACACTTCCAGACGTGGACTGCAAACTCCCTGTGTCTGCCAACTGGTACCCTCTAAGACCTCTGCTGACAGGTTCAGCTTCGCCTCAGGAAACTCCATTTTGGACTTAGGGCCACTACCTCAGGGTCGGCCCCAGTGAAAGCTTCCTGTTAGAGTCAGCTCAAGGGCTGGTGTGGCCACTTTGCAGCCATGTGACCGCAGATAAGTTTTTGCTTTGTTGTTTCCCTAATATATCCAAGATGTAGTTCTTTCTTGAGTTGAAAAGACGTCCCTCTAGAAGTGGGGGACTAAACTTGATTTCACAAAGATAAAATATTTTGCTGTTACGTGTGCTCCATCAGAACTTAACTGACAGCTGACTGTCCAGTGGGTTTTCAGAGGTTGTAAACTTCGTGGGAGGAAATGGCCCATCTTTCTGCCTTTGAGTAGCTGGTGGAATATGAACTAAGTGCCTCTGAGTTGGCAACTCAATTACTTACCTCTAGGCCACCAGAGCTCTCTAGTATCAAGTGTTCAGCAAAGAGCTTTGTTCTGGCTAGAAGCCCACCCACCTTGCAGTTTCCATTAGGTGTGGAATTTAGCTTTTTCTCTCTTCATTTATTCCTGCCCCCTTGAACTAAAACTTAATATCAACCACTTAATATTAATTTTTGACAGTAGAGATACTTCAAGATACAATGGGAAGGGGGAAAGAAATGACACACCCATCAGATAAAGCACATTAACCAAAGGGCAAGGAGAGATACTTAAGCAGCTTAGAATAACCAACTATTGTCCAAAATATTTCAAGAGGCATTAGCAAAGTCTTGCTGAGCCTGTGTCCTCCGACTGTTAACAACACAGACAGTTCTCTTTGAAGCAGGCCTTCTCCTAGGTTCCAGAGCAGTCTAGGCACTAAACAGTCGCAGGTTGCAAAACACTCTAGAATCTCATTAACTTTTCCTGGCCTTCCTTTTAGTTGTTTCAAAAGAAAGAAGTAGAAATACTGGAAGATTGGTCAGAGTGGAGTGGCTGCATATTTTTGCAGGCTATGATTATTTTCAAAGGTTAGTTCTCCAGTCAAATTTTCACTAGGCAGCCACGTGACACGTCATTGGTCTGCTGACGTCATTGCTGCTGCCTAGAGTTCCACCCAGAAGCTGCACGTCTGCACACCTGTGTGCCCACACACGCGCTCATATGTGCACGACCGCACGTCTCCACACCACCCCCACATGGAGTGCCTTGTCTCTTTTTTTCCTGCAACAGAGGTTTCTAGGTTGGGATATCTCTAAGTGTTCCTGTTAAATCGTTCAGGGCCGTCATAGGAGGAGGCAGGAGTGACAACTGAAAAGGTTGAACTCCAGCCCTCCACCCTCAGGTAGGCCTCCTCCGTCTTTCTCCTGGAGGCAAAACCTG